CTTTACTTAAGTATACTTAATAAAATAAACTTGAAGTATACTACTTTTTGGTAAGGGACATTTATCTTGTTTTAAGGATGTAGAAATAATTTTAGTGTAAAACAAGACTACATAGCGATTCAAAAAAATGTGCTCTCTAAAGCAATCCAATTATTTCAGCAGGTGGAGCAGGATTTTATAGATACAGTCTCAAGGTCTTCGCATCTCCCAGAAGACACATACTTTCATTGCAAGAAATGATACTGTAAGTTCTCACCTTTTTTACCAAACCCTTATTAAATCTAAAACGATCTGTGACATTTTCTCTTTTAAGATCAATCATTCATAGACCTTTGGTCTAGATGCCCAACATTTTTTGAAGTAATTACAGGCCTTGGTCTCTACAGAGAAATTCTCTGTCCTTTAATATTTCAGTGTCCATTCATATTTCATGCATCATTTCATGCAGCGGTGGACCTGCTGGTGTCTCTGTGTACATTTGGATAAACTAAACAGGTGAAAGAGTAAATTGGCACACCAAAGACAAAGATCAAAGCCAGCGCCTCAGGGTAGTTTGCTCTTGACTTCATCTGTTAACGTCATGTTTCTCTGATGCTTTTTTCTCCTTGCTTGATCACCCTGAAAGCCCTGAATGGAGTGGGGAGGCATTTGAGTTACAACCTGACCGTTTAAGGGGACATAAAAGAGAGGGGTATTGGGCCCCCTTGTCTTCAAACTGAAATCCCTTAAAATATTTAAACTTATACTCAAAATGTTCATTAAAATGCCTTTAATCTCCCTAAGAAACTAGTCAAATGACAAAAAGCACTGCCAGATATATTTAATAGAGTAAATCACAAACTATTGTGTAACTATTATCATGCCATTATATCAAGATTGCTTCATTGACTTATACAGTACCTTTCCTAAATGGCTCGCTGGAATTTGTTTAATAACTATGAAGAAGTGAACATAATATGCCGTTCCAACCCATTTTATCTATGTAATGTAATGTATTTGAATGGTACAGAATATTCTAGAAATAATGCAGGGAAAGACTTGAATTTATCTATCTGGAATTGACTGGATTGTGAAAAGTTGCTGTCACATACCAGAATAGAGTCAGGTAGTATGAAAAGAAAAAGGGATTCCTCACATCACACAAGGTTTGGTTCCCGTGAGCAAAGACAAGTGGCAGAAATGTCACTAATGCTAATGGATAGCTTTCTTCAGGCACGTCATCTGAAAATAGCAAAAACAAACATGTTTTAATTTTAAACTTTGTTGAGAGACGAATTGTGCACAATAAGCTCAGGAATGTGCATTAATAAAGTAAATAGGATACATTTTGAGTTCATGTTGATTTGAATTAGAATGCTTTGGTTTTAATAGAGGGTTCATTTAATTGGTGATTTTACTTACACAAGATCACAACAGTTAAAAATAATCACTGCTGTAGTTTGGAGCAGATGGGGTGCGAGACAAACTAGTGGTTCTCAACTGATGTGTTAGGATCCAAAAATGCAGGTCTGCTAGTAAAGCAGGGAAAACAATGATAAATACAAAAATAATTAGGCTAACAAATAACAAGTCATTGGAATTTGAATTAAATTGTTACATGATATGCTGAAAAATTAATTGCATATTTGGTAACAAAAGTTGGCAATTAACCTCAAATGAGGATAATTGACCATTATTGCAGTCAAGGCTGCACAGTGGCTGGCCTAGTGTGTTAAACTTGTTCAAGTGAAAGAAAATATGAACATAAATATTCATACATATTGAATAGTTTGTATCACAAAATCATAGTTACCGTTTTTAAAAGCGAGGAGAAAACATTTTCCATTAACTGTTGTCAACAATGATTTTGGCGATTGGAAGAAGCTAACCAGATTAAGCTATTACAAATTAGCATAACATCAATATATTGCTATGTTTGGCCAACGACATGTTTGTACACAGGCACGTGCACACATAGACATCAAAGGGGGCTTGAGCACCTGCCCTTTTTCTTCCTCAAGAGAAAGTGCGCTTTTTTCTTGGGGAGTTTTTTTTTAAAAATTTTTTATAAATGAATATATGTATATATGTGTGCGTGTGTGTGTGTTTCTGTTTGCACATAGCTTTCCCTGTCAAACAAATAAAAAATCTAAATATCAGGTCAGGTTAACTGTCAAGTTCCGATGCCTTTCTCCGCATCTCTGCAGCACAGCAGTGTAGACATTTAAAGTATCTTTTCATTTTTTTTTATATAATTTCAAATATCAGTATTCAATGTTTTATGTTTAAAATATCAAAACAGTATTAATGCATTTGTAACTGCAGGTTAAATACATTCATGTCCTGCATTAAACAGTGTGTAAATGCATCTAAATGCCACTTCTAATGCAGCTTCTGTGTATTCTCTGCATTGCAAAGATTAAGTTTGTCAATACTGATTTAATTTGCTTGGTAACAGCCCATATTACTTATTATTCTAATTGACTGATTCAATTTAAGAATTTGACTGAAAAGATGATGCACACTTCTTTAAAAAAAATGGCTTAAAGAAATGTAAAAATGCCCATTAAAAGGTAAAAATCAATTTAAACTTATTAAAAAATATTAATTTCTATCACTGCTGTGAACTGACCACCACACAGAATATGCAGAATATCAAAAACTTTAGAAGTCAGCTGTCCACGGTAGTCCTTAAGATACCAGCACTATAACACACTCAGCAAAATATCATCTAATTATCCTTATCATAATTTAAATCCCAGAAAATATTGAGATATTTTGTCAATATTGCACACCCCTAATATATTGAACGTTTTGTTTAGAAAAAATTTGAAATAAATATGAGAAGTGCCTTTTTTTTACACTTGAGCCCCTCCCTGCCCCTCAAAATTTCTGTGCACGTCCCTGTTTGTACAGTAAACAATTTGGTATTCCCACTTGATATCCAATGTTAAACCAGATGGCCTAAACCATTACTGCTGTGCTGCTGAACTTCATTGGCTGTCAACAGCAGCACGCGTCCCTCTGGCTCTATGACGCCGTCAAGCAAGCCGTGCTCGCGAGCTGCCGAGCTGTAAACCCGCTGTCAAACAGATCCCCACATATCCGAACAGCTGCAGCTCCCTGTCACATAAGATGTGCTGGAGACTCAAAACCGAAACGTTATACGGGAGATCATTCCGCCCGGCTGTATGAGAGCAGAACCGCCGCCAAACGCGTAGACGATTTGTGCCTGTTTCTGCGCGCGCTGCGCACGTGGAAATGTTGCGATGGCATGCACGAGGAGAACCAAAAGTTTGGTGTCCACGTGCGTGATTTTAAGCGGCATGACCAATATTTTGTGTCTGCTCTACGTCGGATGGATCACCAATTATGTGTCTAATAAAGGCAACATCAAAGTTGCAGGGAGGACGCACGAGAAAAAGTTTGATGACAACAGAGGAGAAACGCTTAGGATTATAGAGAGACTGGACAGGCTTGAGAGTGTTGTTAACCAGCACATCCAAGGTAACGATGTTTTGACATGACAGCATGATTTATATTAATTGCATGTTCTCTTTTTACAGTTGCTGTATATCACACTCCTACTTGCAGCAGATATGAAGATCAATACTGGTTTAAAGGGGCTTTGCACTTCAGATGCTGATGTTAATGAGCCTCTTTTTATTGCTCTGTTTCTATATGCATACATAGAGATGAATTGGAGACCAATCATAATGTTACAGCACCTCTATCTGTCTGGACTGTATTCAGCTCCCAACAGATTTCTGTATTCAGCGGGTGCAGTGTAAACTCGGGTTTATTGAAGCTAGAGAGGGGGCATCAATTTAGCACTTGGCAATGTCCTTGCATAAACATCAGTCCCGCGGCTGGTGCCATCATGTTGCTTTGCTGGACTCAAACAGGACAGCTGGGAGTGATGATAACCTGCAGGAGTTTGAACAGCTTCTGATCCTGGATGATTAATCATCATTAGTGTACTGTTGATGTCAATCTGATTCAGTAGTGTTAAAAATATGGCCTTGGAATGAAATAAGGGGGGTGCTGTCTTCAAAATAACCCCCATTTATGCCCTTACAGGCTTTGTGTGAGGAATTGTATTTCTGTAAAGGATTAATGCATGCGTTAATCGTGTTGAGAAGCATTTGGATGGATTTATGGGATATGTTGGCCTGTACCATAAGTACAGCTCCTGTGCTGAGCTCAAGGTCTTAAAGCTTGCTTCTTGCTCAGTGCAGTCATAGTAAAGCCATAAATGTCAATCAACATATACCCAGTACACCTACACGATGAGGCACTTAAGCGATCGAGTGTATCATGCTACATTATATACAGTTTCAAAAAAAGATACCACATAGTGATGCCTTCCCCACTTCTTAAAATATTTTATTTAAGGTGAAATGTGTTGTTTTTTTAAATTTTATTTTAATATACCATACAGAGAAAACCATAGCCATTTGTTGTTTGATTTTACCTAGCATGTGTAAACATTGTGGCTTTTTAATGCTGTTAAAACATTGTGCTATTTGTTTGAGATTTCTGAATGGTCTGACAACAGCAGCTTTGGCTCAGCCAATAGCATGAGTTTGGGGCGGGATTATCTGTTTGGCTAACCAATGGAAGAGGGAGGGAATAATCAGAGAAACCTGTTTGAAAACAGCTATTGTTTTTGCATTTCCGTTTGAAGACTCACCATTTTATTGTCCAACATAATATTTAAAAACAAGTATTGCATTTCTGAAGGAAAATTATGAGAAATTTGTTTTCAGACTTTTTTATTAACAGAAACCGAGAGTATTTATATATTATAGCCACAATTCATTTTGAGATTTCAGAAGTTTTAAGAACTGTCTGTTCTTCAATAAAAAGTACTTACTGAGGGGGAAAAATAAATTTCATTTAAGTTTAAATCTTTATTTAATGTGCTTTTTAGTATTTTATTTAGATTAGTACAATTATTTTAGACTATTTCACTGCTCTAGCTTCCCAAACGGGTTCGTGTGTTGAAGAAAAGCTAATAATTAATTATAATACAAAAATTTAAAATTAAAATACATAAATTATATTAAAATAAAAACAATCAAAATAAAACACTTGATTGAATATTTTATTAGTTTACTTGCATGTCATGTAACCATTAACCAAAATCAGAGAACCATGAGCATTTGCAATTATCAAAATATTACCTTAAATCTAAATATTTTAGGTCAAAGAGGTTCAGCTGACCAAAAACTTTGGAAATGCCTTTGGGATGTGAAATTACACCTTTAATATATGTATTCAAAACCCCAATTCACATATAAACTTCTCCTCTGTACTTTCAGAGCATAAGTCAAAGACATAAGTCTCAGTGAAAGAAATAATCAAGGCTCCTCAGATTTGCTTGCAGTCTCCTCCAGTTTTACGATAACTGAGTCAGTGGCTCCTGTCGGAGAGTCTCAATTCTTCAAAATCCATTAAAAGTGAAGAGTCCGGTTTTCACGCACATCTGAACTGTCTGATTGCATTGTCATTGGCAGAGACTGAGACTGACACTGGACCTCCAGTTTTGCATTGACACGAGCAACAGTGTTAAAGAGAGAAAGAAATGAAGCTAGTTCTTTCCCTGTAACCCAGTTTTAATTAGCAAATGTGAACTTTGGTTAGTGGAAGGTCACTGTAGAAATGCCATGTTTATTGTGCTTTGCTTGTGATGTCCAGGGATACGAGTTCCGGTGTTGCGCCATTTCAAATGTGGAGTGTAAGATGCTGGAGAGTTAGGGAGAAAGCAAGGAAGACAAGTCTACATTTTTGTAGTATATATGTAAGTAAATAAAATTAGGTTTGATGTTAAGTTAGCAGAGCTTTCCTTCTTTAAAGGGATAGTTCACCCCAAATTAAAATTTTGCCATCTCACCCTCATGTCGTTTCAGAACCAGTTATTTTCTTCCACAGAACAAAAAAAGAATGTCCAGGCTTTTCTTCCCTATAATGAAATGTATACAATTGAAATGGCTTATTGAACAAGAACAAATGTACTTGGTCTTGATTTTGTCCATTAGGAATTGTTTGGAATATGAATTTGAAACAAATAATGATGGGCACAGATAAATCATTAATAATAAACTTTGCTATATTCTATAAATAAGAATTGACCCTTCGCAAAGACCCACCCCCCTTAGTTACTGTTGCTATGTCCGACAAGTCATGGTGCTCTCACGCCACACATCATGTTCTCACACAGTGAAAATTACTTCGCTTAGCAAAGTGGAAACTGACAATGTGCCGACAGACAAGACAGAGCAGGTTACTTTTGGTATAAAAAAAAGTCTCAGCTTTCAAAATTTGTCATTTTTTTAAGACATTTAAACAATAAATAGCCTACCATTGTGTGGTTCTTTAATGTGTCATGACAGATCGCTGTAGCGCCTCAGTTCAAGCGGTATATAAACCATGCGGTCAATAAACATGAATGAACATTAGAAGTTATCTTGTTTCATCCGCGGAAAGATGTCAATACATGCCATTTTTCAAGTTTAAAGGGATAGTTCACCCAAAAATTAAAATTGGATGCCTACATCTTGGATGCCCTGGGGGTAAGCAGATAAACATCAAATTTTCATTTTTGGGTGAATTATCCCTTTAAGTCCACCAATGTTAATCTATTCTCCTGTCTGGTTTGTTTGTCAGACCAAATGGTAGATTCGGTGTTATAACTGGTCAGATCGCCTGTCAATCAAACTCCTGGCGAAGGGTCAATTGTCAGTTGATTTAATGGTATCATTTTAAAAAGTACTCTGGAGGCAGTACAACCCGATATTTGAGGTTTTGACATTGCATTCCTGCGGCATCCAGCACTTTGCACTGCAGGCCAGATGGTGGAAATGTGCTCTAATTCTTCTGCATTTCAGTGGCAGTTGACAGTGTAAAAGGTGGCTGCTGTGCTGCCATTGTATTAGAATCACCAACATGGACTTTAATTAAATTGTCTTTTGTAAGAGTAAATAGTGAAAAGTTTCATTTTTGAGGAACTTTATTTTAATTTTACATTTTAGAGATTGCACATGCACATTGGCTCGACCAATCTGAAATAAACACTTTTTTAATGCTATTTAAGCATTTATGGCAAGGTTCATTTTACATGGTATTCAAATGTGAGTGTCCTGTTTTTGAGATCTCAGTATTTCCCCATTCAAATAGATAGGAGTTGGTCATGCTTAAAAAAGCTGCCCTGAGGCCTTTCAAATATGGCTGCCAAATTAACTGACTTGCCTTGAAAGGGCTTTTGCTATGGCATTATGAAAACATTGTTCTGTTTGTTTGAACACCCCAAACAGCCTGACAACAGCAACATTGACTCAACCAATAGCATGAGTTTGGGGCAGGGGCTATTTGTGATGATGACCAGTAGCATGCCAGAAGATGATGCAAGTGACTAGGCATGGGCCAATTACCGGTGTCAAGGTATACCGCGATTTGAAAATTTCACAGTTTCAAAACCACTAATATTTTCCGTTATATGATTCCTGCGGTATGCGCTGTTTTTCACGTCCCTTCAAAGACTGAAAGTGTAGGAATCCCTCACGACCCCTCCCCCTCCTGTTGGTGCAGCAGTCAGTCACGTGTGTGCACGAAGGCCGAAGGAGCTGCCCCTGGAATCTATGAGATCGGCAACCGGCCCTTTTTTTGTCTTATTGCAGCTTGTCTCTGTTCTGGACTTGCACAAAATGCGTTGCAATGCAATCATTTTTCAAAATGTAATTTATGTGAAAATATGAAGTCTGTAAACGCCCATTAATAGAGGCCAGAGATGCTGAAGATGGTTGCAAAGAGAAAAATACTGTAGCAGGCAGATGCAGCTTGTCTCTGTTCTGGACTTGCACAAAATGCGTTACAAAGCAATAATTTTCCAAAATGTAATTTATGTGAAAATATGAAGTCAAACGCCCGTTAACACAGGCCAGAGACGCTGAAGACGGACGCAAAGAGAAAAATCACTCACTGTTCATGATGCAGGAACTATTGGAAGAAAATCCTCAATAATGATTTGGGTATTTATATGAATGTTTCTGAGGGGAACTGACTGTCTTCAGAAAAGTTTAGATGGTATCTTCTTTTCATCTCGTCTCTGTATAATTGACATTAAAGCAGTGTTTCAGCGCAGTGCGGCTTTGTTTACAGCGGTAACCAAGGAAACGCTGTATGTGCTGTACCATAAGCGCCTCCTGCTGTCAGAGAGTGAATCTGTGTCTCATTCAGAGCTTCTGCTGTTTGTTTCGTTCAGGCATGTAGTATAATTTCACATTATTAAATCAAATTATGTATATGAAATTATATAAATAAATGATATAAATGATATCTATATTATATAACTAAAATTAAATAACTGTAATTACAGATTTAGGTTACATAAAGATGTCAGTCTTTATTTTTCTTCTTTTTTTCTTTTTCACATCAAAAGCTGCAAGACAGCCCACAATTCAGCAAACATTTCAGAAACAAATCAAAGAAGAAGAAAAAACAAGTAC